TCCTTCAGGTAACGAATGTACTCTTCCTTCTTTGACGGTGATAAGTGAATGCTTACGCGAGTCTCCTTGAGGGTTTCGGCGTCTCCCAAATTTATTGCTTCGGTTTCGTCCAGGTTGGACTTAGGTTTATTCTCAAAGTTCTCAAATTTCCTCAGGTATTTCATCCTTTTCTTCTGAGTCACTATCCTTATGTTGCGTTGTCTCATTACATGTCACAGTCATCGGTTCATCAGGAAAAGTAATAACAACACTGTAGAAAGAAAATGTGAAAGATAATAATGAATAATAAATAGCAATGCATTGATTAAATTTTGAAAATATTCAAAACAGGTACGGCTCGATGACTCGAGCAATTATTTCAAAACAAGATGCGTCTTTAAAACAAAATTACTGAAAATATCTTAAATGCCTAGCATGGCTATTAAAACAAATCAGGCTAATTGCCAAGCTACCCAGGAACTCGGCTGGCCCGGGATGGTGTGGCAGTCCAATTCTGGAGAATAGCTCCCTTCTCTACAGTCTGAATGGTGAGGCCTTCTTCCTCCTCCTCCTCAACTATTGCACTGCATTGTATCATCTATTCTGACTTTTTCTATGCTTTTAGGATCACTTGGAAGAGGAGGATGTGGAAGACCTTTAGGTATGCTGATGACGCCAGTATGTGCGAACCAACCTTAGGGGATGGGAATAATCAAAATAAAGGAATAAACAAAAGGTAAACAAGTCAGTAAGGATTCCGAAAAGTATTTGCAGTATTTAAACACGTATTGCAGGAATGTAAATTCGCGTCCTAATTTGGGGAACCTCGTTGTGCCCGAGGTAGGCCTAGCGACAAGTAGATTTGGAGAGTTTTAATGCCGATAAATGCCTGATTTCATTATTGTAATAAATAAGACAAACCTAAAAACAACAATAAATAAATGAGTCACTAATGACATTTGCCTTATTACATTCGAATTCCAAAACGACTCTAGAAAAGAAAATAATCCTAATCTACTCGGTCCTAGAGGGACCTTCTCCAGGCTTGTCCTTCTTGGCCCCATCAATCAGATTTCCCAGGTCGCGCATGTCCAGCAGTTTCGGACCACGCCGAACTTGGGACTTCGTGCCTCATTTTCTGCAAAACAAATATGGTTAGGCCCTTTCCCCCTCCAGATTCGACTATTTATACAACAATGATTAGCGTATTGGCACTTATTTCTCCAAAAGTAATGCACAAAATCGTGGTTGCGTCCGTTGGGATTATGGAAAACCCGGTGGACTTTTGGACGAGGCTTGTCTTAAAGGGTTATTATGTGGACAACATATTAACCCAGCTAGGTTTGACCATGATGCATGTACAATTAACCAGAGTAAGGTTTCTATAGAGGTCTAGATCGGTATCCTCAAGTGGACAACTTGAGAGGGAAAGGTACGGAATCGTTGACTGCACCATTGATCGACTAGTTTTACCGTAAATACGCCTTTCCGAATTTAAAGGGTGATATATAGGAAGAGCGCAAACACTCATCAAGCGTTGCTATAGGATTGATTACGCACGAGTGGAATATGACGTTGAGCATGATTTATGCAACAATAAATAGCATGTTATCACGTATTTGCACGTTAAAAATGATAAATGCGGTATTTAAATAATTGAAAGATGTTAAGAAAGAAAACAAGGAGACAAGTCAGTTTCAGGAAATAAAGGAAATCATGAATGCTTGAGAAATAGGCAATTGAATCCAAATAAGGGGGAAGGGGAAAGGGTGCACATGTATTAACAGAATAAAGCATGTTTGACAAATTTACAAAAACAAGTTCGTTATGGTAAGAGCCTAAAATATCCCTAGCAGAGTCGCCATGTTGTCGCGCCCCCTTTTTCCTCGCGGAGTCCGGGTTTCAACATTCTTTGGGACAACTCATTTCCTTTTGGGAATTGGGTGTGAAATTTGAAGAGTCGCCACCTAACGGATTTAAGGTGCGTTAGGGCACCCAAAGCAAATAACTCATAAACTGGTTTGCATAACCAGAGATTGGGTAAGGGCTCGAAATAACCTTGAGGAAAAGGTGTTAGGCACCCCTCGAGGTCCACAACGGTGGGTCCCAGCCAAACTCGAATTAGGTGAATTAGTCTTATAAGCAAACAAAACAATTTAGACAAATACATATTACGTTTAAAACAAGGAGTAAAAGGGGTCCTAAGGTTTTTTTTAGCCTATAGGATCACTTCTGTGTAATACTTGGTAATTGTCCCCAAGTTGGAGTGCTACACATAGCATTAGCGCACAGGTCATCATATCCTTTACTACCCGATTACCCTCCCCTTAATTATTGTTACCTAAGCGCTCTAATAGTATCCAGTACGTGCCTTATACGCGCATTACCCGTCCCTTTCCTGTGGCCCTGGAGGCGACAAACAAAAGTCAGATAGGACTATCACATAAAGATGCAATTAAAGGCTCATATTTACCTACATGATAATCGGTAAATTAGACTATAATTAGGCCCTAAAGAACCACATTTTTGTATAGCTTTTACGGTAAAAAGTGATAACAAAATGCTCTGATTAGTGCTTTTCATGCTTTGCAGGCTATATCCAATAAAAGAAGTCTGTGGAGTACTTTTGGGATCAAATATGGAGAAAAGGAGGCCAATCATACAATATCCACAAAGTGCACCAAGCGAAGGGACAAAGCCAGAACTGAAGTTGGTTTGCCGCTGTCCGGGCGTAACCACGGTAGGACTGCGGCAGAACACTGCTGCAGATTCTGAAGGCCACTCTGGCCGCGGTCCTGGCGTAACCGCGGTAGGACCACGGCAGAACGCGTAAACTTTAGGGACTAAAGTGCAAAACACGGGATTTTAAGCCCTAAACCCTATATTAAATGAAAGAAGTCGGCCAAGAAAGGGGGAAGGATCTTTTGGAAGTGAAAAACATCAGAAGGAAGGGCAAGAGGCAAGGAGGATCATTGGGCATCAATTTTTAATCTTCTTTGTTCTTTCACCTTTGAATATGAATTCTTTTGTGATTTTTGTTATTGTCATGAGTAGCGAAATACTTTAATCTAAGGTTTTGGTGAAACCCGTTGGGGATGACTTGGTTGTTATATTAATATAGTTTTGAATTGGTTGTTAATCTCTATTTGTTCATCTACGTTTTGATTGTGGTTAATTGAAAGGGCCCTCAATTATCCGTCCCTATTTAGTGTGTATCTGCTTGAGAGAGAGTGCATATTTAGGTGATTGTATGAACAACATCACTCCCGGAGTATAGACGAGAGTCATAACCGAGGGTTTAGAGGTTGGGTTAGAGATAACAATACCTCGGATGCAATCTAAGTGAACTGTATTGTGAATCTAGCTAGCGTAGCTTGAGAAAGCGCGTCTAGTAAATTACCATAATTGCTTGAGAAAGATTTATGATAGCTGGAGCGTTCATGATTGATAGAGACAACTAAGTCTCAGTTATAAAACATATTCAACCAAGGAAATCAACAACGTAGGAAACCATTACCTTAGACTTTATTCCAATTATATACAAGCAAGCTTAGTTAACTTTCTGCTTTATTTATTTTCAGTTTAGTTGTTAAATATATCATCAACTGTGAATCACAAAGTTTGGGGAAATTGATTGTGTGAATTTAGTAAGTCTGACAAGAGTACTTAATACGTTAATTCTCTGTGGTTCGACTCTGGGCAGAATTACTCAGACTATATTTGCTACGTCCGTGTGTGTCTTTTATAAGGCATAGTTTGGCGTTATCAAATTTTGGCGCCGTTGCCGGGGAATTAACGGTGTTATCAATTACAATTGAAAGAAGTACAAAAATTCTAAGTGTGGTCAGTTTCTCTATACCCAATCTTTTCATTGAAATTCTAACGTTTGAACTCTTGTGGAAATCAGGTGTATGCCTAGAAGTTCCTCGAGGACTGGAGAACTGCTAGAAGGACTTTCAAACCCTGAGAAAACATTCAGGGCATTGAACCGCGCTAACAAGAGGCTCCAACAATCACATCAGTCACACCAGCTCGAATTTGACATGGGTGACGCAAAAAACAACATTGGAAACGTTGCGGATCTGCCGGCAAACCCCAACGTAAGAGTAGTGGCACCCCTTTTGCCCGAAGCTGCACTTTATGACTGGGCACAACCCACAGCTGATAACTTGGCCATTGCCATAGTTGTGCCCGCAATTCAAGCGGAGACCTTCCAGATAACCAACAACATGCTGCATCTACTACAAAATAAAGGATTGTTCTCCAGATCACACATTGAGACCCTCAGCAGCACCTGAAAAATTTTCTGTCAATTTGTGTGACCCAAAGGCAGCCAAATGTGACCCCGGAAGCTATCAAGCTGCTACTGTTCCCATTCTCTGTGACCGGGGAAGCTCAGACTTGGTTAAATTCGCTCCCTATCAATTCCATTGCCACCTGGGAGGAATTAGTCAAGCAGTTTCTGAACAAGTTCTATCTACCAAACAAGACTGCAAGACATATTGATGAAATATTGCAGTTTAAGCAGCAGCCGACTGAGTCCTTGCAAGAAACTTGGGAAAGATTTAAAGGAATGCTAGTGAAGTGTCCTCACCATGGCATTCCAGACCAGATGCTCGGCCAAAGATTCTACATGGGGCTAGCTGACCATTTAAAAGCAAATGTGGATGCTTCAGCTGGAGGTGCATTATTGAGTAAGACATTCACTGAGTGCAAAATCCTTCTTAACAAGATGTCACAAAATTCGGGGTGGATGACTAGAGCTACAACACTGGCACCCATAGTGCACTCAGTTCCTCTTGACCCAAACAATTCACATGCAGAGAATATGGCCACACTCATGACCCAGATGAGCATATTGACAAAGAAGATTGATGAGATTGGCACAAAACAGGTACACATTGTTGATACAACAAATGGAGGACTGTGTACACCTTGTATTAATCAGTCTTACGTGTGTTCATGGAGCGGAGAATTCGAAAATCAAGGGCTACGGGAAGATATGAATTATGTCAACAACTATGGAGGTCAGAGACAAGGAGCACAGCAATGGAGACCGCAGCAAAATCAACACTACAGGCCTAATATGCAACAGCCTGGGGGTATGCACCCTCAAAACCAATTAGTGCCAGTACCATATCAGAAATCACAGGGCTATCCACAGCAAAATCAGCAACAATTAGCTTATCAACCGCCTCCTCAGCAGCAAGATAACAATATGGTGGAAATCAGGGGTATGCTTCAGCAACTCATTGGGACAAATAATAAAGTGCAAGAAAAATTGGCAGTGCATGATTCGGCCATAAAGAACATAGAAACGCAGTTGGGACAGCTGTCCATGGCTTTGAACAACCGTCCTCAGGGAACCTTGCCTGCAGACACTAACATAAACCCCAAGGAGCAAAACCCAAATCAGCTGATGGCAGTAAGTCTCCGGAATGGGAGAGATTTAGATAGAGAACATGAGAATCTACAAGCCAGGAAGGAGAGTACGACAGTCGCTCCAATTCCGTTAGAGGTGGAGGATCCAACAGAGCTTATTGAAGTGGTGGTAGAGCAGAGTCAGGAGAAAGAAAAGATGAATGAGCAAGCTGCAGAACAGGTGGCACCTCTTGTGCCAGAAAATTCCAACATAGAGAAGCCAGCAAGCAATGCACAAAGGGTGATACCTGCACCCTTCCCTCAGAGACTGGTTAAACAAAAGAAGGAAGTTCAATACAAGAAATTTATGGAGATGCTGCGTCAAATTCAGTTGAATATTCCTTTGATGGATGCTTTGAGGGAGATGCCCGGTTATGCAAAGATGATGAAAGATTTAATGTCACGAAAGTTTGATTTTCAGGATCTTTCCACTGTGACACTCACACAGACCTGTAGCGCGGTAGTGACAAGACCGATGGCTCAAAAGATGTCTGATCCAGGTAGTTTCACTATTCCGTGAACAATTGGGAGCTATGCTTTTGCAAAGGCCTTATGTGATCTGGGGGCCAGCATAAATCTGATGCCGCTGGCTGTGTACACTAAATTGGGCATCGGCAGAGCTAGACCAACTTTTATGCTGTTACAGCTGGCTGATCGCACGGTGAAAAGGCCAACTGGTATTCTTGATGATGTGTTGGTGCAAATGGGGAAGTTCGTGTTCCCAGCAGACTTTTTTATCCTGGACTGCCGGGTAGATGAGGAGATACCTCTCATTCTGGGTAGACCATTTTTGGCGACTGGCAGAGCACTGATCGATTGTGAGACTGGGGAACTAAAAATGAGACTAAACGATGAAGAAGTCATATTCAATGTTCAGCAATCTAGGAGAAGACCCAGAAAATATGCTAATTGCTCTTTAGTGGATGCAGCAGATGTGATTCTGCAAGAGGAAGACGCGACCCTGACTGTGAATGACCCATTGGATGCATGTCTGAAAAAATCTAGAAGAGATGGATGGTGAAGGGTTGGCTGAATGGGTCATGGCACTTGAAGGCCGAGGATTCTGGACAAGGGAACCTCAATTTGAGTCCCTTGAATTAGAAAAAAGGGCTACACCTCCAGCAAAGCCATCAATAGAAGAACCACCCAAACGGGAGCTAAAGCCACTCCCAAATCACCTCAGGTATGTGTTCTTGGGCCCTGATTCGACTTTGCCTGTTATTATATCATCCGGTTTGCTAGATGTGCAGGTAGAACAGCTCTTACAGGTACTGCAAGAAAACAAGACTGCCATTGGCTGGACCATGGCAGACATAATGGGTATCAGCCCAGCCTTTTGTATGCATAAGATTCTCCTGGAAGAGGGGCACAAACCTTCCAGGGAACATCAGCGAAGGCTAAACCCAAACATGAAAGGGGTTGTAAAGAAAGAAGTGATAAAATGGCTAGATGCGGGAATCATCTTCCCCATCTCTGATAGTAATTGGGTCAGCCCTGTCCAATGTGTGCCGAAAAAGGGGGGAATGACTGTTGTGCAAAATGAAAACAATGAGTTGTTCTCAACTCGTACAGTCACAGGGTGGCGGATTTGCATGGATTACTGGAAATCAAACACCGCCACCCGAAAGGACCACTTTCCCTTGCCTTTCATTGACCAAATATTGTACAGGCTGGTCGGAAGATCGTACTTTTGTTTCTTAGATGGATATTCGGGGTACAATCAGATATCAATAGCCCCCGAAGATAGAGAGAAAACATCCTTCACCTGTCCGTATGGCATCTTTGCCTTTCGGAGAATGCCTTTTGGGCTTTGTAATGCACCAGCGACTTTTCAACGGTGCATGTTATCCATCTTCACAGATATGGTGGAGGATATTATGGAAGTCTTTATGGATGATTTCTCCGTGGTGGGAGATTCATTCGAAGACTGTCTTCACAACTTGAGCAGAGTGCTCAAAAGATGTGTGGAGACAAACTTAGTGCTAAACTGGGAGAAGTGCCATTTTATGGTACAAGAAGGGATAGTTCTGGGACATCGAGTGTCCAGAAAAGGAATTGAGGTCGACCATGCTAAGGTTGACGTGATTGAAAAGCTACCACCGCCCACTTCAGTCAAGGCGGTGAGAAGCTTTCCTAGGCACGCCGGGTTCTACCGGCGTTTCATAAAAGATTTTTCCAAAATTGCTAACCCATTATGCAAACTCCTTGAAAAGGATCAGTCCTTTGTGTTTTCTAATGATTGCAAGTTGGCACTTGAGGAACTGAAGAAGAGGTTGGTAACTGCACCCATCATTGTTGCACCCAACTGGGAGCAACCATTTGAGCTCATGTGTGATGCAAGTGACTACGCCATAGGAGCAGTCTTGGGGCAGCGAAAGGATAAGCTGATGCACCTGATTTACTACGCAAGCAGAATGCTAAGCGGTGCACAGCTTAACTACACTGTAACGGAGAAGGAGATGTTAGCGGTGGTGTTTGCTTTTGACAAGTTCCGATCATATCTGATTGGTTCCAAGCTAATTGTATACACTGGCCATGCAGCTCTCAGGTACCTAATTGAGAAGAAGGAGTCTAAGCCGCGCCCGATTCGTTAGGTGCTGCTATTGCAAGAATTCAACCTCAAAATTCGTGACCGTAAGGGCACAGAAAATCAAGTCGCTGATCATCTATCACGACTTGAAGGAGCTGAAAAATCAGTCGAGGTCGAAGAGATTTTGGAAACCTTTCCAGATGAGCAGCTGCTCGCAGCTACTCTGGAAGATGCGCCATGGGACGCAGATTTTGCAAACTACCTGGCCTGCGGTATAGTTTCATATGACCTTTCATCTGTCCAAAAGAAAAAGTTCTTTCGTGATTGCCGCATGTATTATTGGGACGAGCCTCATTTGTTTAGAATATGTGTTGATAATATTATCCGGAGGTGTGTCTCCGACATAGAACAATCTTCTATTTTGCAGGCGTGTCACGCATCAGCATATGGAGGACATTTTGGAGGGGTCAGGACAGCTGCAAAAGTGCTAGAGGCCGGATTCTTTTGGCCAACTGTGTTTAGAGATGCGCACCTCTGGGTAAAGGGCTGCAATGAATGCCAGCAGACTGGGAACATTTCCCGTCGCCATGAGATGCCAATGAACCCGATTCAAGAGGTAAAGGTGTTTGATGTTTGGGGCATTGACTTTATGGGTCCGTTTGTCAACTCATTTGGCAATAAGTACATCCTTGTTGCTGTGGACTACGTGTCTAAATGGGTAGAGGCTGCAGCGTTGCCCACTAATGATGCAAGAGTGGTGGTAGGATTTCTAAAAAAGAACATATTCACAAGGTTTGGGACACCAAGAGCGATCATCAGTGACGGGGGCACTCACTTCTGCAATAGAGCCTTCGAGAAACTACTTGCAAAATATGATGTACGCCACAAGGTGGCCACCCCTTACCATCCGCAGACCAGTGGGCAGGTTGAAGTGTCCAACAGGGAGATAAAAAGTATATTAACCAAGACGGTGAATGCCACACGAACTGATTGGGCAAAGAAGCTTGATGACGCACTCTGGGCCTATAGAACTGCGTTCAAAACACCAATAGGTACGTCACCATACAAGTTGGTATTTGGGAAGGCCTGTCATCTGCCTGTAGAGCTAGAACATCGAGCTTGGTGGGCACTAAAGCAATTGAACATGGATCCTGACGTAGCTGGACAAAATCGACTGACAGAGTTGCATGAGCTGGAAGAATTTAGATATCAAGCCTTTGAAAGCATGAGGCTATACAAGGAAAGAATGAAGAAGATGCATGATAAACACATTGTGGACAGAGACTTCAAACCAGGTGATAAGGTATTACTGTATAATTCAAGATTGAGATTGTTTCCGGGTAAGTTAAAGTCCCGACGGTCAGGACCATTTAGAGTGGTGCAAATGCTCGCAAGTGGAGCTGTTGAGATCGAGTCAGAAGATGGGACAAACAAGTTTTCAGTAAATGGGCAAAGGTTGAAACATTACCTTGGAATAGCTGAAGAAAAAGGGGATACAATGATGATCAATTTGGAAGAACCCCAGTATGCAAATGAGGAATGATGGCGCAACTACTTGCGTCGTGCCGCGACGGTAAATCAGGCGCTGGGTGGGAGGCAACCCACGAATGTGTTGTAAGTATAGTATGTAACGTCATGTTTAGAAGACCAAAAAAAAGAGAAAAAAAAGGTTGACCGATTCTTAATTGCGCTCGTGTTGCGTCGTGCCGCGACGTTAAATCAAGCGCTTCATGGGAGGCAACCCACGATAGTATAATTTCTAACATATTGTATATATGCAGGATAGTGCAGAGGACCTTGCATCACGAGTCTGGGCATAACATGGGTAAGGTAGGCATTAAAAGAGGTAAAAATAGTGCCTAAGGGGCAAAACAATGAAAAGAACCCCGAAATTGGCATCCAGGAACAGGCCCAGACCGCGGTCACGGCGTAACCGCGATAGGACCACGGTCAGAGATACCCTCTGATGAAGGCACACCGCGGTAGGACCGCGGTCGGTCGCCCTCTCTGATGATGGTTCACCGCGATCACGGCGTAACCGCGGTGGGACCGCGGTAGGTCGGTTCGGGCCCAGGTACATCTGCAATTTTTTTTTTCTTTTCCTCTCTTTTCCTCCTTTAATTAACCTAACCTAACAACACCCTCCCTATAACACCCGCCTCTTCTCCCCTCTTCTCTCTACTTCTCTCATCTTCTCTCCTCTTTCTTCTTTCTTCTTCTTCCCAAAACCTAAAACCCCCATTTTTATTCCTTCTTCTTCTTCCTTTCCTCCAACCAAACCCACTACCCCACTTCTCTCCTCTTTCTTCTTTCTTCTTCTTCCCAAAACCGCCCCCTACCTCTCCAAAACCCCCCCAAATCTGTTCTACTTTTTCAAGTAAGTTGTTTTTCCCCCAAGACTCCGCTGTAATTTTCAAGTAAGTTGTTCTACTTTTTCTTTTGTTTTGTGTACTTTGTATTATGTAGTAGTTACTGTTTAGAATTTTTGATTTTGGTTGCAATGGGGTCTTAGACTCCAAGTTTGGTGTTGTAGATGGTGTTTGGGGTCGATTTGTGTAGAAGTGGGGTGTGATCTTTGTTGACAATTTTTGTGTGGGGTGAAGTGCAGCATGTGGCTTGGGAGTTGTCTCTTTTGTCAAATTACTCGACTATGGAAGGCCATGTGGGTGGGTGGTGGTAGCACTTAACAGTTATGAATTTGTGGAAGCTTGCGTGGGGTTTTATTAGGCGGAAATGTAGCATTGATAGTGGTGTGGGGGCAATAGTGGATGTTGTCAACTTTGGCACCTTACTAGATGGTTATACTGGCCATGTTTAACAAAAAGGGAACTGTTTGGTGCCAGCGGGTGGTGAAGTCTGAGTACCTATCCGACTGGCACATATTAGGCTACACCTGATCGTTGTACTGAATTGATTGCAGGTACTATGGCCCGAAAGAAGCATAGGAACACGGAAAGCACTTCCGAATTGCCGACGTATGATGCCACCCGGTTTAAGTCACAGGAGGCAGAGGACAGGTTTCATGCTAAAGCTACAAAAAGCTTGGTCCCTGAGATTGCTATTGACAGGGCTGCCCTCCGTGTAGAAAACCCGAACATGTACGAGGAAATCAGACGGAGGGGGATGGATTTCTTGTTCGAGGAACCTGAAACGGCAAACCAAATGATGGTCCGGGAGTTCTACGCGAACTGCCCGGAACATATGTGTCATTCTGTGATTGTGCGGGGCAAAGTGGTAGATGCCTCATTATTGAAGATTCGCCAGGTCTTGTAGCTGCCTCCGTTCACTGGTGACACTTATTATTACCACAATTCCGATTGGGACACTCTGATTGAGACAATATGCTTAGGGGAATGGCCAGTCTGGAAACAGGAGTACATAACCCTTCATATCCAGGTCGTTTACATAGGAGGCTAAGTGCTGGTTCACCATTATTTGCAGCAGGTTATTGCCCACGAGCAACACGTCAGATGTGAACAGCTTACGGGCTC